TCCTGTTTTGGCTTTGGGTAGTGAATCATTCAGAAGAAAGCTGAAATCCGTGAAGATAAACATAAGCACTTTAAGGAAAAGTTTAATGAAATATCTTTACTCAGCTTCATTTGTTTTTATTTCTAAACAAAACCTAAATCTCGAAACAACTTCACACATTTTACCCTTTTAACTATTATTTCCTATGATAAGACAGATGCAACTGACAAATGAATTAATTTGTTGAGGTACCAATGGTAGAATGTGCTTTTATTTTCATTTAAATGGCCTTGAATTCAAAGGGTTTCAAAATTCACCATACTTCTTAACTGTACGAAATATAAAAACAAAATTAGTTAACACTGTAAATTACTTTTGGAATATTTTGATAGATTGGCAGGTGACACAAGCTGATTTTAATGCTGATGTACCAAAACATTATAATGGAAATGTTTTTGTATGTTCACTGCACACTTGAAAACAGGAATAAGTTTTAGCAAATTATGAAACAATTTTATCACAGAATCACAGAATGGCCTGGGTTGAAAAGGACCTCAGTGATCATCGAGTTTCAACCCTCCTGCTACATGCAGGGTCACCAACCACTAGACCAGGCTGCCCAGAGCCACATCCAGCCTGGTCTTGAATGCCTCCAGGGAATTCTAGTATTAGAGTGTTTTAAAAACTGCATTTTAAATAGAAAATTACTAAAAACAATCAATTGTGTCAACAAATTGCATTTAAAAAAAAAAACAAAAAACAAAAAAAAACCCACACAACCAAACAAGAAAAAAAAAAAAACAAAAAACAAAGGGCTCCCTGTCTATACATGATGTAATCTACTGTTTGGTCACTACTAAGATAGGGCTGAAATGGTATGAGTAACCTTGAAAAAAAAACCAGAAATTGGAAGTAGCTATGCCAGGTAGGCTACCAATCTGAAATTTGTGCAGGAACATACAGACTGCAAGTTGAGAGTGCTATCCATATATTCCGCATGAAGTGAATCTGTCAGTCTTAATTCATTTTCCACGCCCACATCACAAAAATATACCCTTACAAATGACCTTCCTCATTGGCAGCTTCAGCAAAGAGACGAAAGGAAGATGAGACACAGAAAATCTAGTTATGTTCAACCCTGCAAAGCACGTTGCAGAAGAGCAGCATGGGAGAACTGTTGCCCTGATGGCCCACGAGAAGGGAGCGATGCAGACTCGCCTTCAACAGCCCGGCACAGGTTATAAGGCCTGGCCACAAACTTTCCTGGATCTACCTCCAGACCTTCCGTGGTCAGCAGCAGAAGCCTTTAAACAAATGATCACTTACAGCTCCTTTTTCACATAGCTATCATGACCCCTAATGGCTTTTTGAAGTGAATCTTAGCTTAAAGTCGAGTTAATTTTGCTTCAGCCTTTTTTTGAATTCGACCCAGCATTAGAATTTGAAACTCTGCTTAAGAAAACAGGCTGGCTGCAAATTTCATACTGGGACTAAATCACCCCTGTAGGTACTTTTTCAACTTGCACCACAATTCTGGGCTTACACTTCTACTTTCAGGGGAACTGCTAGGGGCTGTATGTCAAGCCAAGACCTCTTCTGATAAGGATTATCAGAAAATCAGAAGGCTAAACATTTGTAAGTGGACCCACATTTCTCATGTTAACTGGCAAGGTATTTCCCACACTGTGTTTATGAGATTTGCCTTTTTTTTCCTCCTTCCCCAAGAATGTCAATGGGCAGACATGTTTTTTCACAAATTATTGAATGAGTAATTGCCAACATTTCTGGCCATGAGGTTGCTCACTAGCTACCCACTAAAATGACTGCTTTGTGTGTATTATGAATTTCCCTATCATAAATTAGTATTTGTAGCAGGGTTGTTGGTCACCCAAATCACCTGACTCCATATTTTTACCCTTGAGTGGGAAATTTACAGCATATCAAAGGCTTCCACAAGAAAATCACACAGATTTCCAGTTCAGGTATTGATATGGATGCATAAATGCATCACTGCGTGTGACACTTTTTCTACAGAATATCTCTCTAATTAATATTTGTGGAAAGTGAAGGATTCCTCTCAATTACCATCAAAATAAATAGTTATATTAAAAAAAAAAGTTCAGTTTTCTTCAACATTCATCAGTCTTTATGTTCTAACCTCCATTGACAGAATGCATTTCCAGATAGTACAGATGAACAGGACATTTGTTAAAACTACTCTAAAATTCCTAGTTTAGAACATCAAAATTCAATTGCCATATACATACGACTCCTAACCATAGAAACCCTATGCACACATCAGAGGAAGAGACATGAATACTACCTAATGCCATATGGGATGTACTGGAGGTTTTGTTCCAAGCACTCCCCCTCCTCAAGGACCAATTTGTTCATGAATCCTTAAAAACAGCAAACTTGGTGCCCTATCTTCTGAGCCTCCCACAGGTCTCAGGATACAGTGGCACTCCCGTTAGTGGAAGAGCCTTAGTAAAAATACAGTGTGGCTTTCTGAGTGGAACAGTTCTCCTAGGTCACTGACGCAAGCAGACTAGCTCCCATGAGTAAGCAGCATTTGGCCCACCGAATAGCTCACCCAAATACCAGCCTAACAGGACCCTCTAGAACAGCAAAAAATAACAAAGCCATTTTATTTACTTATCCAACACAGCTCTAGGAATAGATACACCACTTTGAAATGTAACCACACTCCTAGGGACTACCATGAATCTGCATGATGCTATACCATGCTCCAGGATATGAAATAAAAGGTTTTAATCAGATTATAACAAATTATATTTTCACCGACAGATCTGTAAAATGTTATTAACAAGAAATTTTAATTCTTCTCAGTTAGCCAAATAATCAGCAAAAGGAAAATGCCTCTCCCTGGCTAACACACCAGCACTTGACCACTGCAGATGGACAGTCCAGTGCAGGGAAGCTCTACAAACATGCCTGGCCAAGTTCAGCCAGGGCTTACATCATGCTACAGAGGACATGCTAGAAAGGAGATGCATCTTGGAATATTATACTGACAAAAAACAGTCATGATTTTCTTCTGCTGAAGAGACGACGTGAGATCAAAGAATCTGAATACTTAAATCAATAAAAATCTGTTGACCAAGTGCATCCTTTCAGAAGGGTCTGTACTATGGGGGTTCTATCAAACACGGTAGAAAGTTATGAGCTACAAAAATACCTGAGAAGACATTAAGTGGTTTATTATCTGCCTTCAATACCCTGGGGCTTGAGCAAAGGTTTGCATAATAGATTGTCCTTTGTAGTGGCATTAGAGACTCCGGCAACAGTTGCGCCAGGTCTGTGGTGAATGTGGCACAGGAATAAAAACAGAAATGCCTCTGTGTACCTTACTGGTCATTCTCCCAGTACACATTCTCACTTGCCTACTACGTTATGAAAGAAGCTGACATTTATTAATTAAATCAAATAATATTTATAGAATCCCTTTCCCAATCCTCAGGGAGATAGAATTTCAAACACAATCAAATACAATCACAACAGCAAACTATTAAAAAGCTGAAAATAGTAAGCCATTCCAGCATTAACCAGAATAAAACCTCAGGTTTAAGAGAGAAGACAAAATAATTGGAAAATAAAGGGAATCATTGCAGAAAGGATCTATCACTCCATCTTGTTGCTGTGACAAAGGCTCACTCACCTGCAGGACTACCAGTTATTACCTACCCTAACAAATTCAGTGGTGCAGAGACACTACTGCTAGCACCTGGTCTTCAGTTTCTAGAAGGTCCCTGGCATAGCAAGGTGGGGTACAAACAAACAGCACTCTTTCAGACGATTCCTGGGTGTGTGCTGGGAGCTAGGGTGAGCCAGGGACTTGTTTTCAAAAGGCATTCTGCTTATGGCTGTCCTGTTGCGGAATACAAGAGAGCTTAATGGGATAGATGTTGGCTACCTTGTGCCAGTTGACCTCAGTGCCAGAGAGTGGTCCAGGGTGCGTTTAATTTACTAGCATGGACACAGCTGGTGATACAAGATCTCAAGATACGTGGTGCCAATTCTCAGATATCTCTCAATGAGCTGCCAGATCTCTTTTCTTTAAGAATTTTAAAGCTACGCGCCAAGGGTTTGAGAGGCATGCAGGGAGATAGGCATACACTCTATGGCAACTTTAATCTCCTAGATGGCTCCTGAAAATAACTGCATTCTAGTGGTTCCTTTCTCTGCTGCTATGATTAACATCAACCAGAACATCAGCACAGCTTCCAGACTACAAATGTTTCATGGCTCAGCACCGGGAACTCAAACCACATGTATGCAACCAGTAAAGTCAGCAATATGATTCAAGGGAAACTGGGAGACCAGTGGCAAAAAGGTGTTCCAAAAAAACAGGTTTTCCTTGCCCTCGATGGCGGCCAAAAGTACTTGAAGCATTAAAGTTTCCCCACCGCTACACTAATAGACCTCCTCTCTCCAGTAAACCCTTGCTCCAGAGAACATGTATGGGCAAAGGTGTGGAAAATAACGAGCAAGGAACAAATCAACCCCAGCCATGGGAAGTCCTAACCAAGTAGGCCTACATTTCCTAAATTTCTAAAATAGTTATAAAGAAAATAAGAACTTGAATTTATTCATGCGTGATAAACGTCAAAATAACTGTGCCCATTTGTAGGCATCTTAATTTAATGTTTACATGAAATAGATAGAACAGTACCTATATTATTTTAATCACTAATTAAGCTGTTTTATACATTCATAACCAGATGAATTCCTCCCATTATAGTTTGTATTTTATAATTGTATTTGCTAGAAAAGGGTAGAAGATAGTGCAACAATTCATACTGAAAGGGCAAAGAAAGCTCTGCAAGCAACCACTTTGGTCAAAAGGAATGAGAGTTGTCCACGACCAACTATAGAACAGATGGCCTTCATAGACAGTTGTTTTTTTATTTGTTTCTGCTTTTTTACCCCTCAGTTCCCTGTCACTAATCCCACTAAATGCCTCTTCACTCGACACCCTTGCAAGAAGTTCAATCACCCACCTGCATGTAAAGAATCAGCAAGGTTATCAGCATCTGAAGATAAAGAGCTTCTAGTTTCCACACAGGGACAGCTCTGCAGCCTGCAATACCTTGAAGGGACCTGTAAGAAAGTGTAGTCTGCAGGGGGAGAAGGAGAGGGTTTGACACTTAGAGCAACTGCTCAGATTGCCACCAGGCCCAGCTTCTCTGTCTGTCATCCAGACACCAGTTTGGAAGGGTGGCTGGCCTCCACCTTGCTTACAACCTCAGAGGTCAGAGCCTACACACCTCTATATTATATAAAGAAAGGTCATTATGCACTAGATGTACTTATGATAAAGCAAAGCTGATAGGGGTTGAGTTAGTTCTACCCAGACTAGGGACTTCCTTGGTATTCAAGCACCAGCAACACTGCTTCAGGCCTTTACACAAACAGCAGCAGCCCACTGAAATCCATTTGAGAACATCGCTCGCTCCTGTGGTGCTGCTTCTCCTTCTAGGGTGGGCAAGACTCTGCAGTGAGATGAGCAGTCATAGGAGATGCTCTCAACAACAAGCATAGGACCAGGAGGGAAATCTGCAAGCCAAAGCACTAACAACAGTTGCTGAATCAAGAAGAGAAGAACTAGGGAAGAGGTGAGGCCCAACAAAAATGGCTCCTTGACATACCCCACTGCAGTCACCAGTGCCGTTCAGAATAGAGCCTAGCACATGGTATGATTTCCATTACCCAGAAGCCAAGAACACATATAAGCTAATGAATAAAAAAGCCCATGCTAGCAGTTCTAAAAAGGAGCTGCAAAGGAAAAACAATGAGCTCACGCCTTCTGACCTTGCTTGTTTTTAGCCTGGTTTCCTATGGCAACTAGGCTTGTCATGCTGTGTGTGTGCACGTGCGCGTATGTGCGTGCAAAAGACTGATAGAAAGTGATAGTCAGGGTGCTCAATAACTGCTGAATGCACTGCCACTTTGTAGTCAGACCTGGCACTAGGTTGTTTTTATCCCAAAGTAAGTTCCCATAAGTTTTATGGAAGCAAGTGCTCACCAAGATCAGTGAGACCAGTAGCTTTCTCAGGTTGGAGGGTAAGAGAACTCAGCTGAGAACTCACACAGACGACAAAGTTATGAACGTTCCAACTGCAGGAGAAGGAGCTCTCAAAACACACAGCAAAGCATGAAACAAACCTGGTAAAACAGCTCTGTTAGCTCTGGTGCTAAGGTATGCAAGACACACCTGGGAAGTTCCTTTCTCTCTTCTTCCTGGTGAGAGTTAATAGGGACATCCTGTCTTCAGGAAATCAATCCTGATTGACAGTAAGGGGAAAAGAACTTTTAGATCAGATTATTATTATTTTTAAGAAAGACTGTTCATATGTCAATAGCTACGTAAGTAAAATTTTCACAAAACAAACAAACAAAAAAAAAAATAGGGATTTAAAAAAACACATTATTCAACAAAGGGCCAAGAAACACCACAGGCAGCTTACCCAGGTCCTCCAAAAAATAAAATAAAATAAAATAAAAGTCTAAGCCTTGACATTGCTGAGATCTGCCAGGACACAGTTCATTTATGGTCGATGTGGTGTGGGAAGATCCACCAAAGCCTTTCTAACTTTGTTTGTACATAGCCTTCTGACACAGCAGACTGGTTTCTTTCCTCTCCCAAGAGATTTTTAAGAACAGAGAGGGCACAGGTGACTGTTCCAGACAGGAACCTACGGAACCTACAGGAACTCATCATTCAGATGGGATCACCGAGCTACACTTGTAAAAGGAGCGAACAAAAAGGAATAAGTGAACATATCATAACACAAAACACCAGTCTCCGTAATTCAGTAACCAGCTGCCTAGAATTGATCTATCAAAAACTCTCTCTGCCTCCATTTTGCTGAAACGTGTCTCCTGTAAATATTTGTACCACTTGAAAGTCAGATGTTTGTCCAGAGCTGCACTGACTAAGCTGGTAGAGCCTGGAGGAGCACACAGGTGCTAGCAATTCGTTTGAGCCAGTCATATTTAAAGGACAGAGGAGCACAGCCATTACAAAGCAGTTTGAAGAGGGAATGATGGTGAGTACTTGCTGTCTCCTTTCAGCAGACAGAGCTGTCTGTAGTATGAAATTCCACATTTGAGCAAATTCCCTCTTTCTTTTAAGAGCCAAAATTTCCACGTGTCATCAACTGTGTACAGTTAAAGAACTATGGCATTTGACTCCAAAGTGCTCTCGCTGACTGCTGAAATTGTATTTCTATATGTTGGCACATCAATTTGGGTTCCTTTGATCTTGAAGTCACTCCAGATTCATCTGAAAATAGTCTTTTTGTTTTGGTTCCAAGTCAGATGTGAAATGTTAAAATCTTCCCTTCCAATGTCAAAAGACAATATATGAGTACCCAAGAGCAGAATTTGACCCTCATCTTTTTCCGTAATTTTCACTACTGTACAAAAAAATACATATATATTTTTTAAAATTTTACTGCCAGCTCCCGAGTGTTACTGGTGATACTTTCAATGTGGCTTTCAATAGCCATATGGCTTCTGAAACACTGATTTTTATGGCCTTCTTAGTAATCATTGTCTATGTCCTCCAAACCCTTCTCTCTCACAGCAGAAGCTTCTGACAATGTTAGAAATATTCTCCAAGTTGTGAAATATTCTTTTTGTGCTTCTATGTCCTTCTGCTTTTATACCATACCACTCATCTCTAAGACTCATCCCGGTCCCATTAAATTCAGTAGCAGCAGGATAAAGAGCCAGACATGTAACTTTTTCTTAGCTTCAGGTTTGTAATTTGAGGCTGCAGTTTAGAAGGGATGGGGGAAATAAAAACTAATCCAAAGAAAACACAGATTAAAATACACAGTAAGTGCAACTATATAAATAAAAAATAATTTCTAAAATATACGTGAAATAAATAGCTGACAATCTAATAACATCTTGAACAAACACTGATTTCAGATAGATTCTTGTCTTCACAGATTTTTCAATCAAGTATCATTGAATCAGATGATTTCTAGATGTCGAAATGCTAGCTATAAATTTATCTAAATTAGAATCAAAGGATTTAACAATCACAATAATTAAATTTGATTAAGGTATGAGGTATTGAAGTTAATTTGGTATCATAAGGAAAAGTTAAGCAAACAGTTTAATTTATGTGTAATGTGTCCCAAACAACCTCGCCAATTTCATGAAATATAGTGTTATATTTCTTGATGATCCTGGCAAGCATATGTAATTAAAAAGAAAACTTAGCATCTATAGCCTTTCCCTTTCTTCTCCTCCTTCCTAATATCTGCAGGTCCCAAGCCTGCAGACGCATGCTTGTTTGAGGAGTCCTGCAGGCTTAGACAACTCACAAAATTAGTCTTGCTCGTACGTACTGAAGTGTTTATAGCCTCGAACCCAAATCCCCAAGCTTGCAGTCCCAAAGAAGTGACTCCTCAAAACAAGAGAACTTCGGTATGAAGTATTTATTATTTTGAAATATAAATGTAAAGTTGCAGAAGGGAATTCTTATCTGAAAGACAAGATATTTCTAAAGAAAATATTAGGCACATGCATAGAAATAGTGGATGGGGATCATACAGAAATGAAAACTTGCTTCATTAACTGCCCAGAAAGAAATAACAAGTAAAATATAAAATAAAAAGCAACATCTGGGGTAGTCAACACCAAATTACAAGTAAATAAATTGTTAATCAATAGTTTAATTGGAGAAAAAAAAAAATATCTCCAGCCTTTTTTCTCAACAGCAAAGGCTTTTTATATTCCTAATGTCAATTTTTTTTTTTTAAAGAAGGAAAATATGACTGTTACTATGGAGTAAATAAAAAAGGGGATTAACATTTATTTTTAAAATTCATAATTATTTAATAACTTTCATATTAACAGATGACAGAGTGATAAAGTGGCAGAATGCTGCTCTGACAATTTTTTTTTTCCTGATCCAACATTTTTTAACATTTAGCTTCCACTGCTAACATAATGGAGTTACTTTTTCTTCCTGCTTGGGTTACATTCATATGAAAAATTTATCCTAAACCTGTTTTTTGGTTCCTAACATGCAGGAAACTTTCATTTGCCTGTGGCTGAGCCTAAACTTGGGGGGTTTTATGTATTTGAATTGCCCTTATGAAGCCAACAGGCTAGATCCTGCTTACATGTACTGGGGATAGGTTCGTGGGACAAAGCAATATGAATTTGACTGTTGTCAAAACATGCAATTAATCTTTGTTTTATCAGCTGCAGCAAGCTTTATGCACTTAATATCAGTAACCCCCCTGACCTCCTATACCAATAACGGCAGAGCAAAGTTTTAATTTTTTTCTTCACTCTCTCCTTCATTATAAATTTGGTGGGTACTTTTGTTTTTTTGTTTTTTGGGTTTTGTTTTTTTTTTTTCCCCAAAGGATGCAAAGGAATAATACTCGTAATTGTCAGTGCTAATTTCTACTCTGGCCACCCAAATAAATACTTTGACTTATCGGAAACAAGAATATGGCAAATTAGGTATGGAAAGGTAACTACATGCAGCCCTTACCCTCGTGGGCTTGGCATCTCTATCACACCTGCCAGGCAGATATATCTTACCCCCCTTCTCCAGAAACATACTCACACAGCAGACTGTTAGCTAAACATACACAAAGTTAAATTTTCTTTGAGGCTTACTGTTAGTAGGCAAACGCATTTCTTAAGCAACTATTTAAAGACATCCTCCAGGTCTCCACTGCAGTGCTGCTTAACTTAAGACTAAATAAAACAAAGCTATTATAGAGATTCCTTCAAACAAGAAGCCAAGTCTGCACTCACCATGCATCCAGAGCTTCTCATTTGAAAAAGAGACTCACAGAGGTTTTGGTATCTTTTTGATGTTTAAGTTTGCTTCTTATATTTTTAGCATTTGGTTTGCTTCAATTTTGTTCCTCCCCAACAAAAAAGCACCAGCCTTGATGCCGGCCACCACAGCTCAGAGGGACTTCCCATGTTAAAAACTTCTTGTGACTAAACATTAGGAACATTAAAGGTAAATATTCTAGTCTGATGCTGACCCAGAAGTTCTAACCCAGCAGAAGACATCCTCCTATCCCAGCCTCTTGCCTGTGGGACGCAGTGCCCAACTGCAATACACTGAGTCTGCCTTTCGGAGACCTAAACGGGCACTTCATTGCGCTCTGCTAGCACGATCTGCAGCTTACAGAGCTCTGTAGATCCATGATCTTTTTACTTGTTTCACTGAAAAGATATTATTCAAACGCAATGCTGCTCAGAGTTCCTAAAACTGACAGAAAGCAAATTGAGTGTTTTCCTTCTTGAAGTCCTTTCCCAAAACTCCATTTAGACTTCACTGTGGTTACTTTTTGAAAACCAGAGCAAGAATGCATCATACCAAGAACTGTTAGGTTCAGTACACAGTTATTCTGTAAGCTGATATTGAAGTGCTGATGTTTGGGAACTGTACGTAAAGTTAAAAAATAATGGCTTAAATTGTAAACTTACTGAGGTTGGACTCCCAAATTAGGTGGCAGGGAAGGGCAAGCCACTAAATAAAGGCACTTAAAATCAAGGAGCAACTGTTTGATGTGATGTCTGCGATAGAAGCACATGCACAAGTCCACCTGTGAGAGTAACCAGTATTTTTAGCTCTATAATTAAGTCAATGGACATCATTAGGAAGAAGTGAACACTAAGGTAAGCAGGATTTGGCCAGTTCCCACGTACAGAAAAAAGTTCTTCACCAGTGACACTTTGTATACGTGCTCACGACTTCTCAGTCTGTGTGCCAGAGACATTGCTGTCTGCTTCCAAATAAAAATCGTGACATGAAGTGATCACCAAAATAATTTTGACCTTCAAGGACAAATTAAAATGGAAAATAAAATAAAATAAAAAAGCAAAAATTAATCTGCTGGTTTTCATGTGGAAATCTACATGACACCTATTCCTCTAAGTATAAAAAAATATGTATGATTGTGCCTAAAGAGAAGACCGCTGATACACTGCTCTTCTCATCCACAACTTCACACCTGCCTACTCAATGCATGCAGCAAGCCTTAGTAAGAACTATACAAAACATCTGGTTTTGTACATAGATAGATGGATGGAAACAATGTACATGGCTACACGTGCACACACACACACAGAAATCGTGACAGCTGCTCCCTCATGTAGAGGAGGCCACTGAAGGGATCGATGTTACATCTATACTATTCCTTGTCAGTGAAAAACTGACCTTAATTTTTAGTGAGTTCTGGCTCAGCTTTGGTTAAATTATGTGAATGGCATGCACCTTATTAACACGTATGATCAACCATTTTCAAAGCAACTCACTGGAACAGTAACAGATTTGTGAAATCCCTTTTCATTACGACAATTTCACCATACAGGAGAACTATACTGCAGCATTCATGAGCAACTTAGAATTCTATTAACCTACCCAAAAGCCTTGTAAACAAGTAAGCAGAGGACAGATGCATTTGCTTCTATTTACTATTTTCAGTTACTATGCTTTTCCTATTTTTTAATGCACATAACACATGCCTATATATAACTCCCCAAACACAGAGTGCTACTGTACTGGTTCAAATTTGTTACAAGAAATTCCTTTAGTAGGAATGAATCAAGAGTCTGATTTAGTGCAGTAAAAGTGAAAAGCAATGAGCACTGTTTGATTGGGACAACATTAGCTAAAGTTTCACATTTGGACTACGGGGGAAGCGAGGAGGGGCACGTTTATGTGGTACCTGTGGGTTTCTATTGTAGTATTCAGTGGTGTTACACGATTTGGGGGGTTAAACTGTGGTCTTTTGCAGATCAGAACACCTAAATTAAGGTGAAAAGAAAAAAAAAAAAAAAAAAAAAGATGAAATGCAATAAATCTTATTTTATGCTTTCTTCCTTTTCAATTTCATCAGATTTTTCTATTTTTTTTCCCTGATTGCTTTTGCTGCACATAATATATGCTTTGATTTAGACAGCAAATAAAATATCTAAATTGTGATGCTTCTCCTGTATGCAAGTATATACAAAATGAACAAAATAAATGAAGGGGATGAATATGCCTCAAAAGAAGAGGTCAAAGAAAAAAATTGGAGGAAAAAATTATCACTGTTGAACCAGTACCTTCTACATACATGTTAAAAGAGTTTTGCTAGTGGTCTCTCTGTAGGGATAGAACTGACCACATAATCTTAGAAACCATACAGGAAAGGTCTTATGCCAAAAGATACAGCAGGTTACAAAGGTTTCAGCACCCATCTTCATTTAGGAATCCTTATGCTTCTTCAAATAGAAGTACATGGCTACATTTTGTTTACTGACTGCTGAACTACAGGATCTCCATTCTCAGTTTGACAGCTGCATTAGACGTATATTTTTAAATCCCTCTAAATTAAGAAAGGTCTAGTTTGACTAAGAATAATCAGAGAAGGAAATAAGCAAGCAAGCTAACAGACAAGGCACCAGTGGTTTGCTCGATACAAGTTTGGAAGGTCTCTGTTTAGCTGCCAGGCAATAACAGTTCGTAGTTTAAAAGAAATAAAAATCATAAGTAAAAAATACCCCCTGTCATTTTTTGACAATCTGAGCAGAAAGGGCCTGGAAAATCTCTTGGAGGACCTGGAAAACTCCTCTCATCCTCTGAGTAGTCCCTCTGACTTGAAGCAGCTGTTGCACCATGGGGCAGCAGGTTATTAAAACCAGTATATCCATTGCTAATGGCCTTGCTGTGCACGTGGTTGGAGAACTGGTCGTATATGCCATCCTATAGAATCTACTCAAAATAATAGCTAACAGAAACATACAGAAACCAGCACCTTACAGAGAAGGCTTTAAGCTCTTTATCCCAGTTCTGCAGCTGGACAGTTGAAAGTGAAGTAAAGTTCTGCAAGAGCTTTATTTTCAATATGTCCAAGTGAAAAGGAGGGGGGGAAAAAATATCTGATTTAATAACGCTAGACAAAAAGCTGCAAGCATCTGTTTCTGTGTGCAGCACTTACTGCTGCAAGCAGCCCTGTTGTGGCCAGGCTAAGTCTGGTTAGAACACAGCTTGGAAAACAAAGCATCCAACTTGGGATGGGAAACCCTTGCTGAATCACGATATAGTTATTTCACTTAAGAAGCAGCTGCTAGGTTCACAAATAACATGCAAAGCTTTGTATCACAACAGGCTGCTGAAAAATAGAGCCAGCCATAAACTTTTTCCCTGGCTACATGGTTAAATTTGGGGGTGAAAAAAATGAATGCAAGTTGCATAAATGCAGGCAACCACAGGTCAGTAAACAATTCTAAAAAACGTTCTTGACTCCGTAAGCTGTGATATAACAAGATGGACTGCTCTGTACTTCACTATAATTAACATAGAATGGGTCTCAGAAAGTTGGAAAAAAAATCGTGAAATGAAATATAATTTTCCTAGCGTGAAGTAAAACCTGTGTATCAGTAAACCATCTTTAACTTCTTTGCAAAACTTTTGTCCAGCAAGAACAGGTCCACGTTTTGCCTTTACTGTTCCTACTACGGATTTGCATGCACATGTGTGTATGTACGCATCCATTTGTGCACCCACAAAATAGTCTGCATGCACATACAGAGGCCTGCACTTTCAAAAATATGAAATAAGAAAAGCAGAAGAATAAAATAAAATAAAATAAAATGCATCTGCATAATTGTAATAGGCTAAACTTATTCTGCAGATTTTTAAGTTTTATGTAAAAAAAAATTGTCATTGTTTTTCTTACTAATTTTACTTCTGAAAACAAAAGGAGAAAGCATTAACAAAATGAGAGGGGAAATGCTGATTTCCAGTTTTATAGGCTTGGTTGCATCTCATTCAGTTTGGCCAGTGGAAAAAAATATATATTAAAAAAAAAATAATCAATTGTTCATCCTCCTGTCCTTGCCATTCTATCTCCTTGCCCTCACGTACTAAAACTAATCAGTTGCATTTGGCTATCTGACATAAAATATAAAATACTTTAAATGCTAAAAATATATATATTAATTACTTTTTTTTTTTTAATGTTCTTTCTCACGAATAAACTTAAAAATAAAAAAAAAAAAAAGGGAGAAACGTGAGGTTTTAAGAAGTAATTGCTATAGGTCCTTCATGCTGATCTTCAGGGCTTTTCGGCATAACACCCTGTACACTGCAAGCCAACAAGCAGAGCTCCCACATGGCTTCAGCTCAGTGCTGTTGCACCCTGAGCTTCTATGTCACACTATACCCAAGTAATTCATCCTCTTGAAACAGCCTAAAGATGAAGGTGTGTGTGACCTGTGGGTACATGGACAACAATAGGGCAGGGTGCAAATCACTACCATAGATTTGGGATTTTTTTTTAATTCTTTTTTTTGCCTCAGGTTTTCTTTTTTGGTTCAGTCAGGCAGGTTGGCATTCTGCTACAACTACATGACACAAAAAAAAAAAAGTGCATAAAAACATACAAATGCAGCCAATTATTTAGAAAACTCTATAAGAAAGTGTAGAACACAAACTAAAAAATATATATATATATATTCCCACTGTTGCATATCAGGTCCTTCATTCCCCATCTTGCTTGCCCAGGCTCATCATGAAGCAGGGAGCACAAAGTCCCTTTATGCTTTGCATTTTCTGTGCTGCCTGTGACGTGCTGCAGGTGGGTAATCCATTTGTAATCTGCTATACTACCTGCAACATTCACACCAATGCCGTGCAACAGGCACGGCGACACACGCCACACTGATTTACTTACAGAGAAGCTAAGGCAAAGAACCTCAGCAACAAACTCAGCAGTGGAGGAGGAGATTTTTTTCACACTTACATTGCCAAACCCTGACATCTGTTTCCTCTGCTCCGTGGTGACCCTCGTGACTGTCCGCATGCCAGCAGATAGTGGCCAACCCAGCCAGTGATCAGATCTTCTGGACCAGCCAGCCAGGCTCAGGCCATCCCTCTGCCTTCTGCCCTCACTTCTCAGTTTGTTTGAGTTCACCAGGAGAGCTCATCTTGTGCCCTGAAGGAAACGAGGTGGGAGGAGCAGGGCAGCAGGGGAATCAGCTGAGGACCCACTCCAGAACAGGTGTCTATAGGCAGGGATGAAAATCTGAGAGACAAAATGGAAGGAAAAGAGAGAGATTGTGCACGTGCCTGAGCAAAATAAAGGAGAAGAAGGAAGAACTAAACAGAAACAAGAAGGAAACTGGATTTTTTTTTTTTAAAGATGGGGAGAAATAAGAACTGTCTTGCCACGTTCAGATCATTAATTGCATGGACTCATTTTTCTACCTGTGCTGCAACATATTTTCCCAGCAGATGTTCCTGTAAACGTAAGGTGGGTGAATGAAGAGCGCTGCTCTGTGGAGGGCGAGTCTAAGGACCAACAGCAGGCAGATTTTTTAAAGCCTACGTGCCACTCTGCTAATTCATGTCTTTTTCTGGCTTCTTAAATCCTGATTTGGAAGGGAAAAGAAAGTTACCAGATATGTTGTCAAATACCAGTGTACCCAATGCAACCTCATCTCCCTGTGCACTTCAGCAGGCCTCTCTCATCTTTCATTTTACCTTCTCAAGAGGAAAACCAATTCCTCTTCCAGCCTGGAACCCTCCCCAGCCCCGTGCATGAGATGAGCAAGGAACCACACCAGCCAGTCTGCAACAGCTCTGAGCACCATGCCCTAGTGGGGAGACCTTTCCTGCACCATCTGTGCTAGGGACATACCAACAAACAGCAGAGCTGTACCAAAATTAGCAGTGATTATCTGAGCTATGTTGGCCAACGTGTGGGCATAGCCTGGGACTTCTAACATGTGTATCCAGATTTTTTCCCATTCTTATAACAGAATAACGGCTTACGTGCATTCTCCCTCCACTGCTCCTATTGGTTCTCTCTTCATTTAAATCCCTGCCCACTTCTAATGTGATTAAACATAACATAGACACACGTGTTGAAAATCAACTAAAATGTGGCAATGTAATTAAAGAGATGTAGAAAGGAAACCAGAAAGCGTTAGAGCCTTGGCCCCTCAGTGTGCCACTGCAGTTGTGGGTGGCTATGCCAGACGTGCAGATTGTTAACAAGTCACCAGCCAGGTCTTCCAAGCAGGGAAAGGCAAGAGCATCAAAGCATTTCCCTTTGGATGCTCGCAGCTCTTGGTGTTTACATTAAATTAGAACTGCCAACTACTAGATTCCATATATTGAGGTTAAACAACCAGTTGAGTGTGGCTGTTGGCCACTTCTCCCCAACCTTCTCCTAATTAACTGCCCTTCCTTGTCTTTACTTCTCCTGTGGGAAATGCTGATATTTTTTCTAGATCAGATACTATGTGCCATTCACTCAGTGCAAGATCTAATATGCTCTCTTTTGGACCACTTTTTCATTTGCCTTCTTTTACCTTCACTGAAGGTGGATGCCGATGTGGGCACTGATGTACATCTGTACATTTGGACTCTAACTCAATGAGCTGCACATCAGCACACGCTGTTGTTTTTTTTTCAGTGCTCATCCCAATTCCTCTGTTGGAAAATATCCCGATTTGCTTCAGCAAAGCTCAGGGCCCTGATTCAAGAGTGCTTTCTGCCTCCCACACCGATCTGGTGGATCACGCGAGGGCAGATAATTCAAGGAGGGAAAATGGAAGAATCACATTCCTTAAGAACTAGATATAATTTCTCCACAGCAGTTTCCCTTTTTTTTTTTCTTCAACCATTCACTCATTTTGAATACATATCATTTAAAACTATAACATTTTCAGACTTTTTTTTCAAATTCCCCTTTACAGGAAGGCTTGTTCGCAACCTGAAAATATTCAGGTTTCCCACATGGTGGAACCTCTTCTGCTCGGGCAGAAGCCCGTGATTGCTTACGTTATTTAGCATGGCATTATCCCAAGCTGTTTGCTTCCAGCTCACTGAAAATAAGGGATGACAGAACACATTTTGCTGGACACACCCCGCCTTTATTCTTAGTAAACTGTTCCCTATATTTTCAGCCAAGAAAGTCGGGTTACTTTGAACCCTCTTGCTTTCTTTTCTCACTGCAATGGCCACTTCCAGCTGGGGAAAAAGCTGACTATCCCCTCTCAAAGCCACCGGTGGGTAGCGAGGTGGCCAACTTGGTAAGCCCACCCCCTGAGACACCGAACCGCGGTGACACAGCCAGGAGCACTGGTGGAAAAGAGGCATCTGTCAAATTCAGAGGACAAGCACTGGAGATGGAGGACGTGGTGCAGAGGCTACTGCCACCAGCATAGCATCACACAAACACAGGGCTCACGCTTCGCCTCTGCCTGGACTCAAGGCAATCACCTCTTCCCTCCTGAGGAGGTTCCTGCTGCATCCCAGTGACCAGCACAGGCACTATCTGCGTGTCACTGTGTGCCTCGTCATCCTGCTCATGGCTTGGCCTCTGGCCACCCACACGGGGACAGGAGCACTCATGGGGAGCCACCTGAGTCGCACGGAGCCACAGGAAGTGGACGGTGTGTGCTGACCCCAGGGATTCTCCTGAGGCAGCGGAGCTATGCTGTGAGTGAGGCTCGTGTCATGCTGTTAGCGTGACGCATTTCTCCACATGCAAATGCCATAATTAGTCAAGCATCTTCTATTGTCCTTCCAAACCCAGCCTAACGACAGCACCAAATACGCTATGAAATAAAAGTGGCACTTCTTACTTTTAAGTGGGGATTCAGATTTTCACAGGAATGACTTTTGCAACTCTCTTCTACAAATTAGGAAGCTTGACTACCTGTAATTAAAATAAAACACTAAAAAAAAACACAACAATTTTATGTACACATACTCATGTATTGCGTCAACATGTATGCAAGCACGTGTGTGTGGCCAACCCTGTGCCTTGTGTTCTGTTCTCAGAGGTTCTTGGTCACTCACATGGAAAAATCGCCTGTATTTAAATCAGCTGCAACTTCCTCTCCTCTCTGTTCCAAACAATGTCTACTGATGCTGCTGCAGGTCCACATGCATCTCTTCCCTGAGAATTGATTGTATTTACCAAAGAATGCTGAAGCGAAAGAGCACAAGCCTCACTTCAGCCTTTCTCTGTCAGTCTGGCTGCTCTGGTACTCCTCTCTGAAGTTTCATCACTCTACACTCCATATTTTCCCCCGAACTGCTTACTGTGTCTGCTGTAACACAAATCTGCTGAAGTTTCCTACCACCTCTACAGCTAATTAGGCTTCATCAGGGTTTTCACTCTTACGCTCCCTGCTGTAGATAAATGCAGTGGCAGCTAGGCGTGCTGCAAGAGCTGCTGACTGCATTTCAAGTTTGCAGAGCAGTGCCAGTGGTCATGCTAACAGGTAATAATCATAACAGGAAGGTTTTAGCAAAAAACTTGTGTGTGTATTGCCAGCGAGTTAACAAACGCTGCTTGGCATTCCCTAAGACCCTCCTGGAATACAAGAGAGAAAAGGAAAAAAAAAAAAAAAAATAGAGAGAGAGAGAGAAGCACTAACTTCTTATCATTTTGAGAGAAAAAGAAAAAAAGAAAGAACAGCACCAAAACGAGCATAGCCCCACTAAAGCTGGAGTGTAACTAACAGTATTGGCAAAAGAGACGTTTGTGGAAAAAAACCTTGCAAAACCTGTATCTGAAAACTACTATCCAGCAAGTGCATAAGTATTAAAAACTATGCAAACAACCACCACAGAACGTGCCTGAAAATGTAACAGTAAAGATAAAAGTTAACTTCTGAGTGTCCCGTATTAGAGTGGTCTCTGCAGCCAGAAGTGAGGTGGCAGCATACCAAAATGCTCACGCAAATATGAGATCCAGACGTGTTTGTGGCAAAAGATTTGTAAGAGAAAGAATGAGAACCGACGTGTGGATGATCTGTAAAAGACCTGAATGCTAATAAAAATTAGGGGAAGGAGGCAAGAGGGGAGGATAACGGTGTTAATCATTATTTCATGAGGCCCGTACTCACAAATCAATTTTTTACAGATGGTTGGAGGTATTTCTTAGTCCTTCACTGACAGGAATATAGGAGGCTCCGAGGCCTTAAGCAGCAATTCTATTCATAGGCCCTTAGCCTTTACATAATTGTATTAAGTGCAGTAACAGACGTAAATTAATGCATGCTGACCCCACGCTCCTAGCAAAGTCTGCCGTGACCTTTCAGAAAACCTCAAGAGCAGTAGTGGTTTAATATCTGATACGATCTCTTTGGGGGGAGATTGGATGCTGCTCAGGAGATGCTGCGTGCCAGAGGACCTAACAGGCCTTTCCATCCTGCACGACGAGGAGCCGCTCTCCTGCCTCCCTTTCAATAAGCAGCCTGTCTATGTTGGCGGTGAGCGAGCCGACATGAAGCACTGCAAAGCTGAGGGGTGCCTTAGAAGTGCATGGCTTGTGCCACGCAGAAGCCAAGCCAGCCCCCCACCTCTGGGGGCATCCATCCTCCTGGCAGCTGTGAGGGACAACGTCATTGTTGGTTTACAGCAAACTGCACAAAGAACCCGAGAGCCTTCCAGAAATTGGGTGCCAAAATGAACCAACGGAGATGGACTTCTCATTAAAGGCTTTCCTGCGTATCATAGCTACTCACATAATAAAATTCAAAATATTGTAAATATTGTAAAGAGTTTTTTTCTAGTTAGTTATCTATAAACTTTTAATGTTATAACAGGAGTATATTCCCCCTTCCTCTACTGTCCACATTCGGAAACAGGATTGTAAGGCTGCCACCAAACAGACTGAAGTGGCATACATTCCTCTGCCTCACTGGGAGGAGGGCTCCTTATTTCTAAGGCACTGCTGGTAATTGCTTTGCCTCTCCTTCTCCTACCTCACGGCTGCAGTGGTAGCCAGAGAACTGCAGAGCTGTGTCAGAGATCATGGACGTGAGAAGGAAAAAAAAAAAAACAACAAGCCTACACGACTACATCTACGAGAGCAGCATATGTTGGACAGCACATGCAATTCTGGAGCAGAAGAGAACGTAACTAATAAATAAAGAAAGAAAGATAACGCAGAAATGGAGATTTTAACCCAAGCCTTCTAACTTTTCCCTTCCCCACCTGCTCACAACGATAGGTTCTCTTGAAATCAGTGTGACAGCATAGCAGGAACACCTAACTTCTGCTGATTTCCCTTCCTTTGGGGCCTCCTCTGCTCACCCTCTCTCTATCCTGCTTGTGGCTGGGCCACGTTCTGCCAGAAGTGGGCAGCTGGGTCTGGAGGGGCTGCCTGTGCCCTGACTGGGTGGGGAAACTCGGGGCGAGATGCCCAGTGCTGCTGCAGTGCAGGCTGTCGCTTGGACTGGGGTCAAAGGGGAGAGGTATGCCCGGCCGCCCCTGGCCGTGTTCCCCAACCTCCCCTGCCGGGACTGGGCCGAGGGGAGCCCGGTGCGGCGCTGCTCTCACCTGGTGCGGGCTGCTGTTCCCGCGGCGCCACGGCTTCCTCGGCCCCGACGGCACGGCCACACCTGAGGGGAAGGGCAGAGAGAAAGGAGGGTTAGCAGGCGGAGGCAGTGGCCTCGCACCTCGCACACGCACGGGCACACGCACGCCGTCACACGTGGGGCGCAGCCTGCAGCCGGCTCCCGGACGGCAGCCCCGACGCTCCAAGGTGAAGGCGCGTTCCTGCCTCCGCGGGGTACATGCGAGCTCTGCTCCAGCTGCAGCCCCGAGGGCAGGGAACTCCGGCCCGGGGAATCCCGCAGAAACGTCGAGGGAGACCAGCCCAGTCCCGGGAGCCTCGGCTGGAGGAGGAGGCCGCGATACTGCAGTGCGGAGGAGCCGGGGCCTCCCTCAGGGCGGCCCCGACGGGGTGGAAGCGGAGGGGGTCTGTTCTGCAGGGCAGGGGCGGCGGCGAGCCGGGACGACGGCCGCGGGTCGCTGTGCTGCCGCGTTTGGGAACCTTTGGGGAAGAAGGCGGCGGGAGGGAAAGCCGGTACGGGTGGGGGAAGCGCCCCGCGGGGCTGCGGCGTCGGGAGCCGGGCTGGGAGCTGCCCCCGAGCAGAGAGGAGCGGCCAACGCCACCGCCCCAGCAGCAGCGGTCCTCAGCATGGCAGCAACAGTTGGCTGCCAAGGTAGAGAGACGTGGAGCCGGCGAGGCTGCAGCTCCACTCGCTCTCGAGCTGCCCCCCCACTCAGACCACCCCTGGTTTCAGTCCTCTAAGGGGTGAGGCAGGAAGAAGAGGGGATGCTGCTTTAGCCTCAGCTTGGCTGATTCCTCTCATCACTTCTTTTTTTTTTTCCCCAAGTTACCTCTAGTACCTTGTCTCTCCCTTTAAAATATGCTCACATGAATAAAACCCCTGCAAGAAGGTTTGCTGGCTAGTGGAAAGGACAAACACTTTTTTTTTTCTTAAATAGGAGAGGATAAATTATTATGAAAATGCAAGTCTACTTGAAAGATATCGTGACCCTTCCACCTCTGTTTTCATCAAGGCAGCTAGTGCTCGAGCTACGTGTCCTGAACGAGAAGGAAGGGAGGAAGGGGAGCGACAAGGTGCTTTTCCTTTGCCTCCTTTCCCTGCTCACCCCTTCGACAGCCTTTTACTCTTTTCTAAAGTGCAGGCAGGTCTTCAAAATCTCTTTTATCTCTTGAGAAATATTAACTCTTAGCCCCGACCGTGGTCCTCGCCCGATCTCTCCACTGCAGGCTTCCCTGAACTGCCAGCTCAGCCCTTTCCCGGCGGATCTCCCTCCGTGCCGGCGGCAGGGCAGCGAGGAGGAGATCATTGCCGGCTCCGGGCAGCCCCGACGGTCGCTCGCCCCCCCACCCCTTTTTCTTTCCCAGACGGTGGAACCATAGGCCCCTGTGTCGCGTCGAGCGGCCGCTCCGCTCCCAACTTGCTGCTCAGCTCTTGTCTCTTTCACGAGGCTGATCGGCACGGACAGAAACGCTTTTAATCTCTCGCTCTTTTGGGGGGCGGCAGGCAGGGAGGGGCTCTTTTTGTTGTTTATTTCTTGCCCACGGAACCGGGCTGGTAATTACTGCAAAGGGAGGGAGAATGCAGCTTCCCCAACAACTGCCTGAGATGCTCTCAGAGCTGTGTGCACGCACAAGGCAGTTTCAGAACCAGAAAGCTGGTGCTGATGCTGCTCTGCTCGCTCGCAATCACCTCGTCCAAAAGCGGAGCCTCGGCGGGGTTTTCCCCGGATTCCGCCTGTTTTACCCTTTTCGGGGGCACTAGCTTTTAGGGAAAGAGTGATCGGGGCGATCGCCGGGCTGCAAGTTGCTCAAAATCGGGTTGGAAGTGGGCAGGGGGAGGGAGGCGCCTTTGGCAGCGCCTGCCTGGTGCAGCTCCCGCGAACTGGGGGCTCCCCCAAACCGCCGCGGCTCCGCGCGCCTCCCCCTCTCCTCCCTCCCTATTATTTATGGGGCGATCCCGGCAAATCCCACCCTCCCCACCTCGGAAGAAGCCGAGGCTCCCGATTACGGAGCGTTTAATGAATCGCTCCGAAGATTTTTTTTCTTTTTTTTTTTTTTTCTTATGAATTGATCTCGCCCAGCCAGGACTCCCGTATTTTTTAAATACGGAGATGCCCTGGCGGGAGGGGAGGGGGAGAAAGGTGAGGGGCGGAGAACTTTTCGGAAGTTTTATTCTATTTTTATTTTTCCATTAATGAAATAAAAGCCACCATACAGTTATCCGAATCAAGGTGTGATCTGCTCCGATAGGCAAAAGTCGATTAAAAAGTTCGGCGAGAAGCGGCGGTGGGTGCCTGACCGCCCGGGGGGACCGAGCGGGATGGGAAGGGGGAAAGGGTGTTTATTTCTGCCACTACATCGCTCCCTCTATCTCTACACACAGATATATACGCACAGCACGGAGGGGTGGGGGGGGGGGAGGGGGGGGCTGGATGGGGAAGAGGGAGAGGTGCCAGGAATTAATAATAAAAGCCCACAGAGTCTAGGTAAGTCCAAGGCTCGGCGATCGCAGCTGCTGCTCCTTCGGCGAATGCGCCCTCCGCGAATGCTTTTTGGGGTAAGGGCTTCCCGGGTAGGCAGTTATGTACAGCAAGCCCAGACCGCAAAAAGATTCGCGAAGGACAAAGTCTGCCGCGGCTTCCCACATCCATCGGCCGGCCGCCGCCACACCATCCAGCGGACCCACGGGCGATCGCTCCGCCATCCCCGCCACGCTGGGTCCCCACCCCCATCCCCACCGAGCGCCGCTCCGAGCCCCGCGGCCCCGGGCGAGGCGAGGCAGGGCGAGGCGGCGGGGGGGGCCGTCACCCCCCGGCGGGGCCGGGGCCGCGGGAGCGTGGCGGAGCGCGGCGTGTCCGCGGCCCCGCTCCGCGCGGAGGCTCCGGCGCTGGGCACAGGCGCTGCGTAAAGAGAAAACTCTTCCCCCTGAGCGCTAAATAAATAGAGAGCAAGCGGGCAGCTCATTGGTGCGGGCTAAAATCGTCACCCACCAATCAGGCGGCGCCTCACATTGCCTATTTCTGCCTTTTTTTTTTTTTTTTTTTTTTTTTTTTTTTCCTTCCCGAAAGGGGGAGAGGCGGGAGAGAGGAGGGGGAGAGCGAGAAGGGGGAAAAAAAAATAAAAAAAAATAAAAAGAAGCATCTCCGTGGCTAATTATTCGCCAAATCCACGACCACGGCGCGTTCGAGAGCGCGGCCGGGACCCCCCAGCCCTCTCCTCGCCATCCCTGCCCTACCCTGCCCGAGGGGCTCCGCGGAGGCACGCAGCCGCCCCGCCGTCGGGGGACCCCGCTGCGGAGCCGCCGCTCGCCCCGACGGGGGCGCCCCGGGCCGCCACCACCTCGCGGCGGGCAGCCGGGGACACGGGGACCTGCTGCGGGCGCTCGGCACGGCAGAGTGCCGCCCCCGGCCCCGGGCAGCCCCCGGGGGCGACTCTCCCGGGGCGGGAAAGGGGAGCCCGGGACGCCGCCTCCCCTTGCACCGCCCGAGGTGGCGAGCCTCCGTCCCCTGCCGCCAGCGGGAACGGGGACGTCCAGTTCCGAAAAGTTTCCGGGACGCGGCACCCAACTCCGGAGCTCCCCGCTGCCATCCCCGCGGGAAGAGAGCGGCCCGACGGTGCCTGCGGGCGGCGGCGGAAAGGCGAACGCGCGCCCACGCCGCGTCCCGCCGGGCTCACGCGCGACACGGGGAAGGGAGACCCGAGGGGCTCGGGGGGTACCTCGCACCTCGGCCGCAACTCAGAAGTTGGCGGTTCGCCCCGCTCCGCAGAAGGGACCCGCGAGCGGCGCCGCCGCCTGCCCCGACTGCCCCGCACCCCCCGGCCCCGTTAGCCGAGCTGCGGAGCGGCGGGCAGGGCGGCGGCACGGGGCGGCGGAGCCCGGTACTTACCTGGCGCTGCCTCCCGGCCGCTTCGGCGGTCCCGCGCCGCGTGCCCGATCACCAAGCACTGTTTGTTTTTTTTTGGTTTTTTGGGTTGTTGTTGTTTTTTTTTTTAGAAAGCCCAAAAGCGAAGCGTCCCTTCCTCCAGGTATGTATATAAGTTACTGTACTGTGTGGGAGGGTCACGATCTCGCTAGGTGCAGAAGATTCCCCGGGATTAACCCCTCCTCTCCCTTCCCCTCCTGCAACTTGTTGAGGATGGCACCGCGCGCGCACGCGGAGCGGCACACGGCCGCACGCGCACACACGCGGAGCGCGGCGCGGGAGCGGTCCGGTGCCCCCGACGGCGCGGTGATTGGCCGCGCTGCTCGTGGAGAAGGGGACGTCTCAAGTCGAAGTCACGATTTCTCCTCAGTTTGGAACCATCTGTGACTGGAGCCATGACGCAGCCAGAGCACATTACTCACTTTTACAGTCACGACTTGGAAATCCGTGCAGTTTCCAACCAAAATTACACCGCCACCATTGAATTATTTAATAGGATCCAGTTAAGGGTAATCTCATGCATTGTGCCGGAGAGCGGCGGTCGGGAGGGGAGGGCTGGGAGGCGGGGGGCAGAGGGAGGGCACTGCTGGGCTCTAATCGCTGTTTCACAGAGCCACTGTTTCCGAGTTCCGACGATTGGCTGCACGTGCTGTAAGGGCTTTTTTTCCTTTAAACCCCAACCAAACAAACCGGGAACGGATCGGTTTGTAAATACGACCACGCGCGCTCGGGAAAGGGACGGTTCGGTTCCTACATTCAGGGCGCCCGTGGGCGGAGTGCCGCGGTGCGGCTCCGCGGGGCTCGGCGCGAGGAGCGGCGCTTTGTGTGCCCGCGGCCGCGGCCGCAGCGCGGCATTGTCTGCAGGATCCGCCGGCGGTGCCGGGCTTTGTGCGGTAGGTGCACCATTTTCTAAGCTCGCTCGTACCGTGAGGCGACGGCTAAGCGCGCACAGCGGGAGCTGCCGCCGCGGCTATTGTCTGCCTGTACCTCTCCCACCCCTGCAGGGCTCTGGCTGCGGCGGAGCCTCCTCCCTTCTCGGCGGCTCCGGAGCGGTGCCGCGATGCGGGGAGGGCAGGGGCTGCCTGGGATGCCCGCCGTGCCGGCCCCGCTGCGGGGCTGCGGCGCCGTGACCCTGCAGCTCGTCCCCGCGCCTCTCGTTCGGCCGAGGATCTATCTGCCTAAGGACGCGAAGGACGGGCGATAATAAAAGCAGACACCCGCGCACACACGATCCGCAGAATGTGTGAGCGCTTAGCGGGGAGAAACGAGGTGGGAGGAGAAGGGGTGAGTCCAAATAAAGCAACCTATAGCCTCCTATTTTGCGGAGCACCATCATCAGGTACAGCTCTTTCAAACGCACGGGCGGGAAGGGCGGCGGCGGCGCGCACGGGCGCGGGGAAACCACCGCGGGAGCGGCTCCCTCGGCCCCCGCGGCTGCGGGACCGGGCCGACCCCCCCATACCCCCCTCCTGCGGCGGCGGCGGCGGCGGCGGTTTCAGCACCGGGGAGCGGACAGCGCCCGGCGGCGGCCCCTCGCGGCGCTCGGCCCGCGCCCCCCGCCCGGCCCCGCCGCGCCCCCCCGAGTGCAGCCGAACGGGGGGCGGGCGGGCGGCAGAGGGGCTCGCTAGCGCCGACAGAGAGAGAGCGAGAGTTGCAGCTCGCTATTGATTCAGAGATTTACCGACAGGGTGATTCCCCTTTCTGCAAGAATTCCCTGTCTCCGGGCTCCGTGCATGCAGCAAATGCGTTACGGAGACGAGCGGAGCCCCCTCGCTTTAAAGAAAAGTAGAAAGGGAGGAAAACAGAGGGATCCGAGCATGCAGAAAGGAAAGACGAGACTCACGGCCGCTGGCTGCAGCATGCACAGGAAAGATCGCTACTTACCGAGCGGGAACTCCTCGGGTAGGGGAGGGGGTGGGGGGGGTGAGAGGGGGGGCGAGGATCGGGGGGTGGGGGGAATCCAACAATTAATTTCCAGACAGGAGTTGGAAAAAAATACTGCGGTGATGTCCAGGTTTTCTTCCACCCGCGCTCGCTTTTTATACAAGTGCAACCCTCTGTCTATTTCTGGAACGCGATCAAAACCCTGATGCTATTTTTAGCAGGTACTGGGGAAAAAATCCACACACAAAGGCATTTCGCTGGAACGCTACGTCCAAAACATTAAATGTGCATTAAGTCTGCACCCCCTCCCATACTCCCCCCCTGCACACAGCCACGCATCCCCCTTCCCCGGCTTCTTTCTGCACCACCATCCACTGTTGCTTTAGGTGCATCATTGCAGAAAATAAAATAAATAAATAAATAAATAATCCACAAAAAACCCATCAACTGACCGCCTTCCGTGCTGTCCTATTGCACAAACCCCTAATCCACAGTTGTACTGAGTCTGTCTCTCTGCCTGTTGCCTTGCAAGCATTACTGTGTCTTTCTTCTTGCAGTGTCTTTGCAAAGTGGGCTTAGGAGAAAACACAACAAGCACCATGCACCACTTTGCCATTGTGCACAAACGTGGGTTTCAGGCAGGGATGCTTGCTTTGCCATGAGGGTGAGGTGGCTTCATACGGTGAATTGCACCCAGCACAAAGAAGGGTTGTGGGTTTTTTTTTTTTTTTTTTTTTAATTCTCTCCTCCTCTCCCCCTGCCTTTCTCCCCCTTAAAAAAATATAATCCTTTGTTTGGAGAATAAAGGATCTATAAATATATATAGATATGAAAAAAGGGTGTGTGTGTGTATGTGTTTGCGTTCTAGTAATTCACTACGAGGGGGGACTGAGGAAAAAATAGAATCATTAGGGCTTGCAGGCTGCAAGGAGCCAGCCTGAGACTCCTTTGCAAGGCTGCGTCAGTTATCAGCTATTGACGTCACGTTCAGATTCTCCTCTTCAGAGGCACTAGTTCATCATAAAAGATGTCTGTGCTCGGAGCTTTGTGCTTGCAGAAAGGCACTTCAATTCGAGGAAAAGAGTTAATTAGCAAGCCCCATATTTGTGGTGTGCAGCTTTCAGTGCAGTTGCACAAAAATTCGGGGGGGGGGGGGAAGGGGGGAAGATAGGGAGGGTGAAAATGTGTGTTTGTAAGGGGGGGTGGAATCTTTTGCGCTGGGGATAGGGAGGTATTTCTCAAAACACACACACACACACACACACAGAGCCCATGTAGAAGCACAGAGAGAAAGCAATCTGCATAGTCAGACACTGCAAGAAAAAGTACCCCCCACCCCCTCCTCGGGTATGGCTATGAAGAAAAAAAAAAAAAAAAAAAAAAAAAAAAAAAAAAAAAACAATTGAACAAAAACCTCAGATTTTTAATATTTGCAATGCAAGCAGCATTGGGGGGAGGGGGGCAGGCTGAATATAATTTAACATCCCCTCCCCCCAACCCCCCCAGTCTGAAAGGCAGCAGCTCGCACCCCCACTACCTTACACTTGTATTTGGCTACTGTAGCAAAAGACAGATATTGATAAAACCAGGATTAATTCTGTATATTTGTCAGGCAAACAGCCCCGTCTCCTAGAATGACGCAAATAACAGATTCTATGGCTCTGGCTTTCTATATTCTGCACCCACGCACTCTGCTTGGTCTCCCACGGAATCAGCTACAGAGAGCAATGATCCAGATTATACAGAGAGAGGGGTGGGGGAAAGGGAGAGAATAACAAATGAAATTGCAATTAAAAATTATAATGCTGCTCCAGTCTGTACGCAAATGGCTCAACCTGAGCTTGCACAGTGGCACACACCGACATGCACTCGCGCCCCTCAGCCCCCTGCCCCTATACCGTGGGGCATCAGCAACATTTAGACAAAAGGGAACTGTCTTGCTGACAAATGCAGGGTTTATCCAGCAAGGAGAGGTGTTTCCTTTATGCACCACACCTTTCCCAGCTCCCATTAAGCAAAACACATCCCTGAAACGACCTGTCTAGCCACTAAGTGTGTGCAGAGGGGACAGTTAACACACACAGCTGGGGAGAGGAGTGGGGCCACCCGCACAGCCCCACAGGAGCTAAGGAGGACCTCTATGAGCAGGTCATCTTCTCCGTCTCACAGACAAAAGGATGCAGCTATTTCTCAAAATGCCTAAAAAAAGTCAAGCGCAAGGGGCTGTTACTATTTTTAAACCTCTCTCTCATTTGTTGGAAAATGGCACTAAAAGCATCAACCAAGCTCCCCGCCCCTGGGGACACAGACAGACACATGGCGAGCCCTGAGGTACACTGAGGTGGTGGGGACTGTCCCTTCCCCAGGTGAGGGCCAGGGGTGCCCCACCACCATTCCCACCACTAACCCCTGTCACACCCCGTGCAACGGCAGAAGCAAAATGTCGGGGCAATCAAAAAACCCGTGAGTTATTTACTGTCTAATCTGTACACACACGCTCCTTATTTATTAACTCACTTAATTATTACCAACTTCTTTTGCAGACAATGAATTTCCTAATGTCAATAAGCTGCAATCAGTGAAGTAAGGCTGTCTCTCCCTCTCTCTCAAAACCAGACGGTGCTGTTGTCATGACTGCCCCTGACAGGGAGGCGCCTGGGGGGGGGAACCACACCTGTATAGGGGGCACAGCATGGCACCATGAGGCTAAAGGAGGTTGAGGGGCCATTCAAATAACCATATGCAATGCATTAGATGCAACCATACGCATCATCATCCACACGTCAGCAACAAACCCATCTCCACAGGACTGGGAGAGATGTTACACTTCAGACCTGGAATGAGACACAGTCCAACCCATGGTTTTGCCATGGGAAACTGGCCCAGTAGTTGTAGCCCAGAAACCAGAGAGAACAGGAAGAAATATTTCAACAGGGCTAGCCCTTATGCCAAGGTCACACCTTGTCCCCTAAAGACTCCCAGAAGCCAGCTGTGGAACATACCTACTCTGAGGAGCTGCAGTGCAGTTCATCCTGGATGAACAAAAATGTTAGGCCATACAGGAGCTTAAGGATGCAGACATGCACATCCAAACTTTCTTTCGACACTTAGACCTTCAAGAGCCTTGGTATGCTGTGGAGGGAGGGAAGGGTGCAGCCATTTTCTCTCTCTTCTTGCCCTCATACAAACTGATTGCTTTGCACTTCTGTGTAGTGGTCATCTCTGTGAATATGAACAGAAGAAGGCTGGCCAGCCCCAGCTCTTCTCTGATGCAAAGAAAAGGTGACAATACAAGGGGTGGTTCTGTTGGCATGACTTGGAGTGGGCCCACGGGGAAGCAGTGCATCTCCTGGGCCTCAGGAGCCCTGTGCCTACTCCT